TGGTGACTTGGTTAGCTGGTAAGGGCACTTTTTTTCCACAGGTACGAACTACACCAATCTCCGAATCTGAATCACCGTTCTGCATCAACTTGACTACCTGATGAGCAGTTTTCACTGTTATTGCAAGGGCTCTACTCACTTTCTGTGCCAACTGCTTTCTTTCACTTTTCGTCTTTTCCTCGTTGCGGTTAATGATCGCCTCAATGACGTTGTAGCCAATGATGGGGTCGCTGGCAACTGCTGGGTCGCTTGACACAAGCATTGGTACTTGAAGTTCATTCATCTTGGTGGGGTCACTGCCTAATCTGAAACTGACTTCAATCCAGCCAATATATGGAATGGGCGTGTCATTGGCAGCAAAGACTGTCAGGGTCTCATCTCCCAACAACTCTGAGATGGGTTTGACAATAGTGTGAGGAAGGCAGCTCAGTCGCCAGGGCTCATTCACTATACTGGACTGTGCTCCCGTGTCCCACAGGGCTCTGACTGGTCGATTGTCCATGAAACAGTCCACCATACATCGGCTTCCTACAAGGCTTACTAACTGTGGCTGGTGTCGAGGTGGTATATAGTGAACTACACTTACAGCAGGTGAGGCGCCCGATGCTCTCTTTCCCAGGGCTGTTGTCGGTTGAATGACTGAGCTGGGTGGTGGCTGCTCATTTTGGGGCGCTGTTACTTGGACTACTGCTGGCCCCATCTCAGTAGCCCCTGCCCGTTTCCCGACAACGCTCTGCATCCGCGAGAGAAGTGGCCTTCCTTCCCACATTTGAAACAGTGTGAACAGCTCTCACCTGTTCTCTCATCCCTACATTTCTTGCAACCTTTTTCTCTCGGCCTTTGTTCAGGAGAACGGGGGTTCGCTTCCATTACAGCCAGAAACATTTGCTTCATCTCTTTACGAAGTTCTTCCATCATCTGCTGTACATTCATGCTGTCAGGTTTAGTCTCGTTCCCTTTTACTGTTGTGATTTCTGCTGCTGGGTTGGACTCCTTAAGTTTAGAGGGGCTCTGGGCAGGTTTGGATTTTACCTGAGTATCTGCTTGAAGCTCCTGCACTTTGGGCGTCTTACCAGCGGTGGATCTCTTGCGCTTTTCTTGTCTCTCACTTTCGACTTTGGCCGCCTCATCCACTTTCTGTATAAGCTCTTCATCTGAAATACTCAAATCACTGAGGTAGGGCAGAATTTGGAATTTCACAGAATCACTTAACAGTCCAGTTTCAATTGAGCGGAGGAACTTGCGTTGAATGACGGCTCGGCTGTACTGTTCATCTGTGTCCTCATTTGCTGCTTTCCATAACAGCTTCTCTTTCAGCTCGATTGCACGGAATACAAAGTTCAGGACAGTTTCTTTGGGCTCTTGAGAGATGTTTAGTAGCTGATGGTAAAGTTCAGTGGAGCTATCTACACGATAGTGGCCTTTCAGGATGGTGAGAAGTGAACTGAGGGTCAGACCACGTTTAATCTCTAGCATGTCTCTCAAAGGCAGCCCTGGACTGACAGCCCTGATCACAGCTTCGACTACTTCAGTCTGCGTGTGCCCTTTTTCTATTCCCATCTCAATCTGTCGAACTAAACTGGGGTACGACAATTTATCCCTCTGACCACCCTCTCCAATTTGACCACAGATCTTAAACTCTCTTCGCATGGTTACCTCAGGCAATGGGTGAGTTGGCTCTAGTCGGCTCCTGAGCGAGGACTCTGCCTTCTTTACAGGGGGACTGGGTGGTGCAAAACGCTTTTTTTCTTCTTCCTTTGGAGCTGGCTTCTCTGATGGCTTCACTGCATCTGGTTGACGACCTTCTTTACTTTGTCTTTCAATGTATGTCAATAAATCAACACAGTACTGTTTAACTTGATCACCTTCTTCGCTCTCCTCTAGATCATCCAATACGCACTCCGCCATCTTGATGAGCGCCCTCCGTGTCTTGCTGCGGGACTCTTCACTGTCCAGGCCATCACATTTCATGTACCTGCAGACCTCCCAGAGAGACTCTTCCCTTAGCTGCCACAGAGCTGCACTCACTTGATCACGCAGGATCTGACTGGCGTCCATCTTGTTTTCGGATCGACTCGTTGGGAAGGAGGGGGTTAATGGTGTTGGTCACTCTATCGCCTCCTCCTGGCTGGCTCGCCAAAATATGTTACACTTTTTGGAAAGAGGCAATGTCACTTCCGGGTGCAACACATTTATTTTTCTGTATGAAACACAAGAAAATGCAATGTTCAAACAAGGAGCACATTTCTCTGCACATTCGCGCTTCATCTCGTGCTGGACTACTTCTATACTCTTATCCTGTGATATATTCACAAATTATCTTGACTCGCATGACTGATGTCTAGGCTGATACGTCACACTAGACTAGACTCCTTACAATACTCCATTTTCAGAAAATACATGTTCTTTACACAAACACATTAACATGGATCTAAACATGTGCTATGCCCGTTATTAAACTGATATAAAAGGAAAAGGTCTGAAAAATAACATCTTTAAAGTACAATAAACTCTATGAGTCATACATTTAAACTCAAACAAGCATGTGAATAGTATTTGGAATTAAAATAGATTTTCAGGCATCAGCAATAGTTCAGTCTATACCCACATTACTCTAACATTGATAACTGCACGTGTATTCCTAATACTCTTTCATATCACTGTTTAACTTGTCTTTAATCTTTTTACTCTTCATGAAATATGCTAATGACCTGACTACATTATGAACTAAATTTTAACCATTTAACAGTTACTGTGTTATCACTATGAACTCACAAAATTATTAATAAACTGTTTTACCTCTCAATCTGACTATGGTTCTTAATTTAACAGTATGAACGTCCTTTATTTTTACATGTAATGGCTGACAAAGCAATGCTAAATGAGGGTCACGTGTATATACGAGGGCTAAGAACAGTCACGTGTGCCTCATTAACTCCAATTGCCCAGACTTGTCTCTACACGCATTTCAATCAATGTTCATACACATATATTCGGTTAATTATGCCTCATCCACACTCACGTCGAGTATATATGCTTCTAAACCTTTATTACTCCGTTTTGCTCACGTTAAGAGTTACTAGTTTTCTACTAATTAAATAGTTAACACTCCCGTCCGCCATTTCACGACATAACTCTTAATCACCGTTAAAACTTCACTTTTGTTAACGTTTCAGGCACAAACTATGGCTCTATAAGAATATAATACTGTTATACATATACCAGTGTAAGGTTATTGTCAGCTTACCTGTATGAAACACAAGAAAATGCAATGTTCAAACAAGGAGCACATTTCTCTGCACATTCGCGCTTCATCTCGTGCTGGACTACTTCTATGCTGCTAACTAGTCAGCCACTCATGCGCCGCGCAACTCCCGGGTGCCCCCTGCTGGCGACTCCGAGTCTCACCAAATTGAACACAATGAAAGTCATACAAGTAACTAATGATAATATGAACAGTTTGAAATTTAAAGGGGGGTGCTTTGATATCTGTCCCATTTTACATTCTTAGTGCTACAAAGGCAATGCTTATACAGTTGACCATGATATCTATATCTTATAAAACATTATTCTTGTTAAATAATGCAATTAGGTCAGCCAGAAAAGATTATTTTTCATGTTTAATTGATCACAACAAAGACAACCCTAGATTCTTATTCTCCACTATCGATAGGCTACTTAATGTCAAGTTTACTTCACTATATTACAATTAAATCCTAATCAAATTATGACAAACTATATATCGTTGGAAAGGTCTAAGACTCCTAAATATATATTTTAGCACTGCTTTTTGTTATAAGTTAAGTAGATATATTTAGGCTATATTTGGTATTACGCCTAAACAAAATATCATGGGAACTTCAATTTTTGTGATATCAACTTCAAATTTGGAATATATGGCTTTGTAAAAATATTAAAAATATTAAGTACATTATATTTGATTTACTGTAAATTTAGACTTCCATAAGTTTTTCTTTATTTTTTTTATGTGCTTTCACTTCAGCAATAATCAATCAGTAAGTGTTTTCTTTAAACTTTTCTTTAACTCTTGGTGTATATTCCAAAGCATTCTTCAATTATAACCATTTAAGTTTGAATAGTGCACTTTAATGTCCATTCTCAAAAAGGGGAGTGATAATTAAGACAGATGAAATTCAGCTTGTAATTCTGGTATGGCTGAATGTCCCTGTTAAATAAATGTAACAAATAAATAAAGACGTTAACCCCTCAGCTCAAATATCATCAGAGTTTGCAAAACAAATTATGAGAAAATGACTTCCATAAGACAAGACGTTCCCAGCACTTGCCCAACTTGTAAAGTCTCCAACTCCCCAGCTTTGTAATGCAATCTGTCCTCCTCGTCAGCTGTCAGGCCCAGCACACTTACACAGATCACGTCACATATCAATCCCTCTAGCTGCGCTCTAGACCCATTACCCAAATCTCTCAAAAGGGTTATGAACTGCTTATTACCAGACATCCTGAATTTCATTGATCAGTCCCTAGAGCAAATCTTTCCACAAATTTTTACCTAAAAATAACCTACATGGAACGTTCCTAACGTTCTTGTTTGGTTCCCAAAAAAATAACCTCATGGGACCATTAGAGAACGTTAGGGGAACGTTCTGTGTTTGCTGGAGCATCTGATCTCCTCCGGAAGCTGGTTCAGCACATCTGATCTGATTTGAGACAATTGGCCAGTTATTTTACTGGTGTTATCTGGTTTAAGAATTAGTGGAGAAGGAGAAGAGTTCCCGCACAATGTCTCGTTCCCATCTCTCAGGGAACTGAAGACGTTCTTCAGACGTGCTGAAACGACCATTCGTTCCTGCATTAGGAAAGGGCCTGTCTCTGGTGTTGTGTTCACCCATGCTTAGTTTTACTCGATAATTACAGATTTTACACATTGTCTAGTGCTTGGACATACTGTATGTGTGCTTAGACTTTGATTTTATTTATGAAGGTGCTTTATAAGAGGAATAAAAATCAATCATACATACTTTGCCAGTTTCTCTTCAAGCCGACATTGCACACGCACCAAATAAGCATCAATCTGGGTCTATAACAGATCAAAAAAAGCTCAGAAAATAAAATGAACAACAGCAAGAGCATAGAAGTTTATAAATATGAAACACATTCTTACTTTGTTCCTCTCATACAGTAGCGGTGTGCAGAACAAAACGACATCAGCTGCCAAGAAAAAGAAGAACATTTTACAGTCATCGTTTTGTTATGAAACAAACAAGGTGGGTTATTTCAGTTGGGGATTAAAAAAATCAACGTTATATTTTATGCATAGTTTTTGTACTGCATCATATTAAAAGAAATCATCATTGTATTAGCACATGCCTTCTGTACTGTATGTTATGTGAATTTACTTTAACCACCATTTGATCATTATTTTGACTATTATTATTATTATTTATTCATGAAGACAGGCTCACCTAGTATTAAAATTGTGATCCCATTGAAGACGGCCCCCACACATGTCAGAAACCACACAACAGCTGCAAGCTGCAGATAAACACAGCAGGTCAGACACTTTTTACTGTGACACAGTTCGTTACTAATTTCCCATTCTGACTGATGAACAACTGCATGAATGAAGTTCTTAGCAAACACTTTTCTTTTAAAGGGCTCTATGGTTATTTACTAGCCTGGATGCCCACAACATCTCCGCCCACAACATATTTTGGTCGGGAAGTTCGGTCTGGACTCGATCCATTGAGGAGTAATTATGATCAGGCAACTGTTGAAAACACTGATGAATTATTGTAAATAAAAGGACATACCTTCAGGGAATCCACCACATCTTCTACAAGCACAAGTCTTCTGGTCTGAATGAGAGCAGTGTTTAATTTCTCCAGAAACATGTCCATGTACCTGTGGGCTGTGTCCGGTGGAATGCGGATATCTCTTTCCATCAGAAATCTGTGGATGTACAAAGATCTCATTTATCAGAGCAGCATCACACCAAGAGTCCAGCATCTAGGAGGAAAAGATCTGAATAGAGATTTATAAAACACAACTAATGCATTCATACTTAAAAGGGTGTCCTTCGTCGGACTTCTGTACCGCGTGCACGACTGACTTATAGACTCGGAAAGTGATGGTGACGCAGAGCAGGGCCAGGAGCAGGTAGGACACGACACTGATGACACTGAACCTGGCTAGAGACGTGAGCACCAGCATCGAGCCGCCAAACACTAGCGACGACTTCTTCGGCTCCTGCCAATACACCAATTCCTGCACTGCAGAGACATAGGGATGTTTAAAGCATGGCAAGAGGCCCTCGTGGTCCTTTTCTGTGGTCCAATCCTGCACTGCAGAGAGAGAGAGAGAGGGAGAGAGAGAGAGAGAGAGAGGGAGAGAGAGAGAGAGAGAGAGAGAGAGAGAGAGAGAGAGAGAGATTTGGAAAAGTGAGTGCTTTGACCTCTCAATCTGAGTTTAACCTCTTGGCAAAATCCATGGGTGTTGCAATTCACCTCATAAACAGTAGGTTTATTGCAGTGACATGTGTGGTGATGTGAAATGAGAAAATAAAGATCCTCCCTCAGTTTAAGATGTTTAATATCAAATATCATGTTCCGGTTGCATTTGATGTTGAGTTTCCAAGTATATCAGTCTAATATGGTGTGTTTCCTAATGGTTATTGATTTAATTACGCAGCTGTCACATCAACTCCCATTGAGTTCCAGGGGTATTAAATGTAAGTACAAAATACTTTTTCTGTTGTGCTTGTGAATAGAGAAAAAAAAGAAAAAAAAAAGAAAATCACTCACTGTTTTTGACTAAAAAACTTTTGTATTTTTAATAAGGATTAATATATGCTGTATTTATCCAGTGTTATTTTACAGTGATTAGAATTTCTGAACTTTGTTCAGTTGTGTTCATTTGTGCTATTGCTAATTTGTTAACTTGTTCTTACTGAGTGTATTGTTTTGAGATGTATATTAGTTTAGTTTATTTATATCTAGTTTATTTGTTTGGTATTCAGCTGCAACCGAATGTTTTGCCAAAACACAAAATAAATATGTTTGACCTCACCCAATACTTAGGCAGACTTGCAATCATGCCACAAGGAAACTATAATAAACATCTTTAATTGTAAAATCAGTAATATCAGATCCACTGATAAATGACGCCACCTAGTGGCTGAATAAAGAATTGCATGCAAAATCTCCATTACAGCTGTTGTCATTTCCTGTTTTGTGCCATGTTTTGTAGTCCTTTGTAGTTTTTCTTGATTATTAGTCTTCCCAGGTGTTTCTGATTAGCCACACCCGCTCGTTATCATGTTGGTCTTTGTATTTAAGCCGTGTGTGTAGTTCTTGATGTTGTGATGTTGGTTGTTCTGTTCCTGAGGCTTGTTCTTGAGCTTGTGTCTGCATTTGAGAAGTTTTGAGTTTAGTTAATGAAAGTGTGCTGCACTTCCTCCTATGATTCAACCGCGTCATCATTACAACAGCATTACAGCACTGTGTGAGAGGGGAAACAACTGTTTTTATTTTATTAAATTGACTTCCTTTGCCTTCCTGTCAGTAGATATTTCATAATCTAGATCAACAAAAACATGAATAATTCTGATAACATGCCATTGGTTGTATCTATTGTTTTGTTTATTACTTTTCTTACAATTATTCCTGTTCGTTGTCTTTACTTATACTTACATTTGCTAGAAAAGCAAGCGTTCATGTCTCAGACTAACTGAAGCTATTGGGTCAGAGACATTAATCTGCTTACAGATCAGCCAATGAGAGTCATGTGTGAAGACTTAAAGGTCAGAGGAAAGAAACGTGCAGGTCACAAGTGTAAAAAGGACCACAATTGGGCATCACAAAGGAGTCTGATTCTGGAAAAAAAAGTAAACTTGTGCATAATTTGAACTTTGATATGTTTCAAAAGGTTTTGCACAAAGCCATACTGGATAATACAACATTTTGGCTGTAACGTGTTTTACAGTCAGTCGAATGCATGGCCGTTCGTGGATTGATTATAATTCTAAGCACTTTAATACCCTTAGCAGAAACTGACATTATTCTACAACCTTTACACGTGAATTATTGAACATACCTGATGAGTTGGAGTCTTTCAACAACACAATGGAGTTCAGCCCTGAGGATGAGGAGACGGCTGGATCTGCCATATCACCGGATGTTATGAACCGTGCTCAGCGCTCGTCTGAAGTGTGGAGGTGTAGCGAGTCGAAATGTTTCAGTGGATTAATGCAGTCTTGAGACGTACCAGGGGTGTGTTTACACTCTTTAAGCGGCTTTTGCCATGGCATGTAGTTTTGTAGATTAAATATGTAGTACCAATCCCATGGGACGATGGACTTGCAGAATACACAATAAGAAAGTTAACTTAAGGTGAACAAAAGAGCATTTCTTCCTTCAAGTGTAGAAAAATAAAACTACAAATAAACTCCATTGTAGTCTTGAGTTTCTTCCGGGAACGAACACGTCACAATGTTCCTCATTATAATAATGCATGCGCATAATAAAGGGGCGGGGCCTGGTTGAGTTAGTTAGTAGTTTAAACTGGCGGTTATGGAAAGGGGCGGGGCACGGTGTGTCTTAAAGCGTATTAAACACAACCCTGACCCCCCCCCCCCCCCACAGGGGGACTTTAAAGGTGCAGTAAGCGATTTCTGACAATCATTGTTGAATACTGTTGACATTTGAAATCAACCCAAACACACCCGTCTCTTCAGTGCTCCACCCACAAAATACACAAAAACTTTTTTTGTTGTTGTGTCATTTTTATTTATATATATACTGTATATATATTTTTTTTATGGGGGTGGGGTGGCGGCTGATGCATGTAAGTGATCTATATCACTTTTTTTTTTCTTTCAGTCATGTTATATGGGCTTTGTATGATTATCCCTTGGCATAAATAATGTAATATACATTTATAATATAATATAATATAATATAATATAATATAATATAATATAATATAATATAATATAATATAATATAATGTCTCTCTGGAATGAGTATTTGCCGGGTGTGAACTATCCTCTGTTCTCATTCATAAAAGACTCTCATCAGTCAACATTTACTTGATGAACTGTTCCACTCGGACGCCGCAGTAGGTAACGATCGAGCCCAAGGTCAATAAAGTACATGAGTTTAAATCTCTAATCAGCTGTTTTTAAAATAAAATCTTTTGTAAATACTTCTGTACAACGAGTCGCACGAAATAAACGCGTAAAATGTTTTCTAAAAATGATAATCACCGAAATAGTCTTGAACTTTCTCCCCCCGTCGACGAAGCAGTAGTGGTTCAGTCCATGGAAGCGGAAGTTCTGACAGTTAAACGCAGAGCGAGCGGACTGAAGTTACAGGCACTTGTATGAGTTTGTGTTGATGTATTGAAACGGCGGCGTAAACATTAAACGAGATATAGAGATGCGACGGAAGCAGAAGAGATTGTTGCAGATCGCGTTTCTGCTCATCGTGGCCTTTCTGTTGTTGCCGAACGTCGGCTTGTGGTCCTCGTCTCTGGAGCGGTTGTTGGACAGCAGTTCTGCGGACGGACCCAGACTCTCTCACACACAGGTACCGCAGATCTCTCTCAGAAACACTGAACTCTCACTGTCACTGCGATACAAGCTTCTCTGACGACTTCTTTCATCTCCGTCTGCGAGGAACGCGACGCGACTACAACGCTGTCTGTCGCTGAGGGTTTGTCGCGTCGCGCGCAATCTGTCAACGTGGTAACAAGTTATCTGGTGATCGGTAATTAATTATATGGTCCTTTTGAACGAAGTTCACAGTTTAGACACTGTTTCGTCATGGAAATTAAACACAAATGTTCCATATTTTAAACATTAAAGTTGTTTACTTTTTTTTTGTGGCTATTGAGTTAAATAATAGTATTAATATAAACATTTTCTGTTCAAATTATTTATATGACAATTACACTGGTTGTTTAGCACTTTTTTGCGCTTCAGAGCTAAATTGATTTTATTGAATGATAGTTTATTTTATTAGAGAGATAACTATTTCGGTAACACTTTACAATAAGGTTCATTAGTAAATGCATTAACTAATATGAACTAACGATGAGCAATGCATTAGTTAGTGTTTATTAATCTTTGTTAATGTTAGTTAATACAAATACAGCTGTTCATTGTATGTTCATGTTCAGTCCATTAACTAATGTCCATTAAGTCTAACGTATTAGTAAATGTTGGAATTAATATTAACTAAGATTAATAAATGCTGAAGAAGTATTGTTCACCTATTGTACATGTTAACTAATGTTAACTAATGAACCGTATTGTAAAGTGTTACCACTATTTCAATTTGGAAATATACTACTTTTAAATAAAAAAACACGTCACAATATTCCTCATTATAATAAGTCATGGTTGAGTTAGTAGTGTGTTAAACTGGCGGTTATGTAAAGGGGCGGGACATTTCCAAACGCACTCGAAGCGCTCGATCAATCACAACACACTGCTCCAGCCAACCAATCAGAGCACATTGTGCTTCTCAGGAGGAGGGGCTTCATAGAGACAGGAAGTAAACAGAGCGTTACTGACAGACTGGGAAGAGAGGAGCCGCAACAATGGAGAATATGAGTATAAAAAAGTATCAAAAGTACACTTTTTAGTATCAAGACTTTTAAAAAACGGCATAAGTTGAAGTTTCGTTACATGCTTATGACTTACGAAGCGACCTTGAGTTTAAAGAAAGGCACTATATAAAATAAACACACCATTAAAAAACACATCGGCATTGCTTAAAGTCACAAGAAGCAATACAACAGCGAGTGTTTTAATGTTTTCACTACGCACTGTGTATTTTGGGGTATCAGATCTTCATGTTCAGTGTTGAAGCGCAGCACTCCTGCGATCTCCAGTCCGGTGTTGATGAACAAGTCTTTCCCTGCGCTGAATATGAGGATGAGAAAGATGAAATGCTGTATATCTGCAATACTTTCCCCCACTCATAAACCAAATACATCACACAATTACAGATGCCATTGAGATATCACATTTAGTCCTTGGTAAGTATAATAATTCCATCTCTCTTGTAAATGAAAAGCAATAGCAGAAGTACATATAATATACCCATTAAAAACTTGGTCATCTAAAAGCATATACACATTTTTTTTCTAGTTTGACTAAATTAGAAATATCATTAATCCCCGAGGAATGAGTAGGCGATTTCCATTTTCTTAAAATTAGACCAAGAGTGTGACTAAAGTGTGTGTGTGTGTGAAGCGAGAGAGCAGCAGCAGCGCTGAGCGCCGCGTGTTCATCATGACCCGAGAGGTTGAGCCGGAAGAGCAGGCCTTCATCGGGCCGGCTGTGAAAGGCGGTGTGTGTTCTGCTGTCCACACGTGTGTGTGTGCGCTGGCCCGGGTCCAGGCCGAGGGCTGTTAGCTCCTCTGTGGTGAGCGGCAGGTGCTGGGCTCGCTCTCGCTCATCACACCCTGGAGGATCCGCACTGGAAGTGACGTGCGTCCGAAGCCAAAACATATCCTGATGAGCGCGTGCGTACGCCAGAACCTGCACATCCTCATCTGCATATCATTAGCATATGCACATTCATCCACATGATCCACGTTTAACATATGGAGAATATGAGATACGGATGTGCGTCACATTACACTGCTAACAATCATTTTGAATAAATAAATCAAATACATTTCAGACTCAATCTCTTCCACTGGCCAAATAGTATTTTTATAAACCCCACACACACCTCTGCTAACTCGTTCGTCTGCTTTAGCACATGTGTGCGTTTAGTGCTGTGAGGAGGTGTACACTGTTTTGCTGTTTATTATGGACACTGTTTGCTTTTAAAAAAACAGACACGTAGCAGACGTACATCCCTGTTTGCACACCCGTGCTGCCCTGTAAGTTTGCACACACACATTAACAAACACACACTTTTGACCTGACAAGCATTCCCGTACTGTTAAAGGAAACGGCCTGTCAATCATCCTGTCATATTAGCAGCAACTCTGCTCATGTTTAATACATAATCATGCATCGATTAGAAGACGTGTCATATTGCTGTTTATGTTGTCGTTACCAGTGACACTGGTATCATTAAAGTGGAGCTATTACACCCCTTTTACAAGATATAATATTAGTCTCAGTGTCCTCAGAATGTGTGTGTGAGTTTCAGCTCTAAATACCCCACAGATGTGTTCATCATCCAGGAAAAACCTGCTGTTTTTGTGCTTGTGTCTTTAAATGCAAATGAGCTGTTGCTCCGCCCCTTTCCAGAAGAGGGCGGAGCCTGTTAAAACTTAAAACTGTTTGGTTTGGATTATAATCTCATGTGACATTGTAGTTCATCATCATTATGAAAGTGTATTATCTGCCTGTGTTTTAAAGCCGTATCAGTCTGAACGTCTGATATACGTTTATCTGAGCACACACACACACACACACACACACCGAATCACGCGCACAGAAAGCTGCCGTCAGACGGAGCGTCCCGTGAGGGTTTAACTAAGTGCTCTTTCACTTCTTATTGAGCTTAAACTGTCAAATACACACAATGTTCCCATGAACACAGACGGAAATCTGTGTTTATTAGATCTGTGTATTAAACTGAACCTACTGCTATAAGCTGATAATATGAATCAAACGACTAAATAAAAACAGAATATCACTCACTGCTCTTCACAGATTAACTTTAGTAGCTTTAAGAAGAATATGTTTCTGACTTGAATGCTGCTGTTAAACGCTCTGGCGAGGAGATGAACAGTATAGGGGCGGGGCCTATACTAATTGGGCGGAGTCTGTCAGCAGTTATGGGCGGAGCCTACGCATATGTGACATCACAAAAGCTAAAATCTGCAATCGTGGCAATGTGCAATATCAGTATATAATATAATATAAGTAGAGTTAATATTAGTCAATCATTTCACAACCTTCATTACACACTTGGAAAAATAGAGAGGTCGTGACCTCTGGGACCTCAGGGGTGGTTACGATCGATAATTGGCTTTAAAATATTTAGTAATGTATCTTGAAATTCTTTTGGTTCTGGTATTTTTTTCCCCCCAGCCCTAGACGCAGGGTTCGCTCTTCCTCCTCCTCTTCCTCGGCTGCTCTGTGTGTTTCTCCAGGTGTGGTGTTCTGCTCACACAAGCTTCATGTGTGTGTTTTCAGAGACCGAAGGGACACCGAGTGCAGAACACCGGCGTTCGGAAACGCGACTGGCATGACTACGCCGCTATCAAGAGT